TTTTTTTTTAAATTCATTTTCACTCCTGCTGAAAATAATTATAGCAATGTCCCGGTACTGAGTACTGATGGAGCCTTATTTAGGTTCAACTGGTGGCTCAAGTGAAAACGTTCATGATCCTGGCCAGTTCACTACTACACTGACCGTTGCTCCCTCCACGAAAAAGCCTATGGCTTATTTTGATTTTGCTCAAACTGACTACGAATGCTTCGAAGCTCTAGTCAACTTTGCTTATACTTCCTAGTATGTGGCTTTCGTTCGATTCTGCACCTTTTGATATTCGGGCTAGTTTGAACTGAATTTCAGCCTCGAAATCAGCTCGAAAAAAGTTGCTGAACTGTACAAAACTGCTTTTGCTCTTCAAATGACACCTGTTGTAAAAGCTTGCGCGAATTTTCTTGCCGATAACCTTAATCTCAAAAACTGCATAGGTGAGTCGGTTATAAAACTTTGTCGAGAAGTTGTGCAAATACTTTTTGCAGGAATTCGACGTCAAGCTAATTTCAACAATGATGTTTATTTAATGGGAAAAGTTGATGCATTCATACAAGAGAATTTTCCAAAGATTGTGGATGATAGTGTGGAATTTACGCAGCTACCTTGCATTAGGGTAAATTTCTTTGTTTTCTTCTCTTGTACAATTTTCATTCGTTAATGCTTCACGTAATTTCCTTTTTGCAGACAAGAATCATCGTACCGGCGGAGGATGGCCGACCTGTCGAAAGAGTTTCCATTGAAAGAGGAACGAGTATCGCCCAAAGTACCCTTGACTATTTCAATAGGCTACCTCATGAAAGAATAGAACATTCAATAGAGACGCTAATTCACAAGGTGGGGACTTCGGTACTTGCTTCTTTTGTGTTTTTCAATTCACAAGATAGGAGCTTCAGTACTTATTGTTGAGATTTTTCGTTTTGATGCACTTGTGAAAGTGTAAAAAAAAGGGGTAAGAATATTCAAAGAATTTTGTGTATGTAATGTAATTGAATATATGGAAAAGACCTTTACTTGAATATTTGTTCATTCAACGAA